GGAGACAATCTGGGCAATGTACCAAGAGAAAAAGAAAACAATATTGTATGCCCTACATAGTGTCAAGTGAGTATCAATTCTGCTGTTTCTGTGATTCCCTTTCCCTTTCACATATTGCATTGTCTATTATGCAAAACACGAGGTACAAAAAGCTAAAAGAAATGAAGAAAGACAATACAGAAAAAAGAATGAACTATATACAGGGTCTAATGAGAAACTCTTATTTCCATAAGTTGTAGTTCATGTTAATATGCTTCATTATATAGGGTCCTTTGAACTAAGCACTTGGATTGTTGAGATCCCTTGTTGAGAATATCATATACATATTCTACTTCTTACAAATGAGGGAAATCATATGTCTTGCTTTTCTTTGGGTCTGGCTTACTTAATTTTTTCCAAGTCTTTCCATTTCCTTATGAATGGAACAATGTTGTTTTTTCTTTCTTTCTTTTTTTGTCAGTTGTGGGCGCTGTCCCTCAGCTCTTCAGTTCAAGGCTAGCGCTCTACCACTTGGGCCACAGCGCCACTTCTGGCTTTTTCTGCTTATGTGGTGCTGAGGAATCGAACCCAGGGCCTCATGCATGCAAGGCAAGCACTCTACCACTGAGCCACCTTCCCAGCCCTGTTATTCTTTCTGATGGAAGCTTAGAATTCCATTGTGTATATGTACCACCGATGTAACTGTAACTAGCTTATCACCTTTTCAATTAAAAAAAGAAAAAAGAAAAAGCCACGTGCAGGTGGCTCACGCCTGTAATCCTAGCTACTCAAGAGGCTGAGATCTGAGGATAGCAGTTCAAAGCCAGCCTGGGCAGGAGAAGTCCCATAAGACTCATCTCCAATTAAACCACCAGAAAACCAGAAGTGGCACTGTGGCTCAGGTGGCAAAGTGCTTGCCTTAGGCTGAAGAGCACCTAGGCCCAGAGTTCAAGCCTCAGGACCGACCAAAAAAAAAAAACCAAAAAAACAAAAAACAAAATACATACATACATATATACGTGTGTGTGTGTGTGTGTGTGTGTGTGTATGTGTGTGTGTGTGATATACCCATGAACTTCATAGGTATTATATTAGTGGAACAAATTAGAACACTATTTGTTTCCCCAAACAGATATACAATACAAGGTGGAGAATATAAAGATAGTGTACCCATATTAGAGGTGAGAACCCAAGAAGAGTAAAAAGTAATTTTAAAAGTAATACCCATCATTCGTGAATGGTTGTAATTTTAGAATAATGCTTATTAGCAACAGTGCCCATTAATGAGAGGTCACCCTTTAAGACTAAATTACATTTTACCCAAAGAGGAACCCCAAAAGTCCTCTCATAACATAATACAACAATCTCAGGCACTAAGCCTAATTTCAACTCTTCAATTAAGACCTAAAAAAGTTTTTTTTTTTTTGGTCCGGTTATGGGGCCTGAACTATGGGCCTGGGCGCTGTCCCTCAGCTCTTCAGCTCAAGGCTAGCGCTCTACCACTTGAGCCACAGCGCCACTTCCAGCTTTTTTCTTACGTGGTGCTGAGGAATCGAACCCAGGGCCTCAAGCATGCAAGGCAAATGCTCTACCACTGAGCCACTTCCCAGACCCAAGACCTAAAAAAGTTTAATAGTGGGCTGGGAAGGTGGCTCAGTGGTAGAGTGCTTGCCTTGCATGCTCGAGGCCCTGGGTTCGATTCCTCAGCACCACATTAGCAAAAAAAGCTGGAAGTGGTGCTGTGGCTCAAGTGGTAGAGCGCTAGCCTTGAGCTGAAGAGCTGAGGGACAGCGCCCAGACCCAGAGTTCAGGCACCATGACTGGCAAAAAAAAAAAAAAAAGTTTAATAGTGACTGGAACAAAACAATAACAAGAACCACACAACAATCACAAAAAAAAAAAGATTAACAATTACAACCAATTTCTTTACTAAATCTATCAGCAATACATGAAAATCTATTTTCTAAATCTTTAATTTCCAACAAACACAAGCTAAATCTCATGATTGAGATGAAATAGGTATCACTATTTAACTGACACCATCACCTAAGAAAGTCATCCCCACAATTTTGTTTTAAAAAGACAATCCTAGGGGCTGGGAAGGTGGCTCAGTGGTAGAGCGCTTGCCTTGCATGCCTGAGGCCCTGGGTTCGATTCCTCAGCACCACATAAGCAAAAAGAAAAAAGCCGGAAGTGGCGCTGTGGCTCAAGTGGTAGAGCATTAGCCTTGAGCTGAAGAGCTGAGGGACAGTGCCCAGGCCCAGAGTTCAGGCCCCACGACTGGACCAAAAAAAAAAAAGACAATCTTAGCCAGGCACCAGTGGCTCATACCAGTAATCCTGGCTACTCAGGAGGATCTGAGGATCATGGTTCGAATCCAGCCCAGGCAGGAAAGTCATGAGACTCTTACCTCTAATTAACCACAAAAATCTGGAAGTGGGACTATGCTTCAAGTGTTTTTGAGTACTAGTCTTGAGCATAAAAGCTTAAGGATAGCGCCCAGGCCCAGAGTTCAAGCCCCAGGGCTGGTATGCATAAATAAATACATACATACCTACATCCATACTAAAAACTATTATTGGGGGGGGGGAGAGTAGATGGGAAGGATAGGAAGGGGAAACAAAGAAGGAGGCAACAATGCTTGATAAGAAATGTACTCATTATCTTGCCCATGTAATTATAACCTCTCTATACAGTATTTTCACAATTAAAAAAAACAAAACCAAACAAACAAAACAAAAAAAAAAACTATCATTTAAGCTAGTTTAAATTTTAAGTTACTGAAAGAGAGTAGCCAGGCGCCGGTGGCTCACGCCTGTAATCCTACACAGGAGCCTAAGATCTGAGGATCAAGGTTCAAATCCAACCCTGGCAGGAAAGTCCACGAGACCCTTATCTCCAAGAAATCACTCAGAAAAAAACCAGAAGTGGCACAGTGGCTCAAGTGTTAGAGTGTTAGCCTTGAGCTGAAGAGCTGAAGGACAGTGTCCGGGCCCAGAGATCAAGCTCCACAAGCGACAAAAATTGAAAAAAAAAAAAATCTTTCATGAAATACTGTGAAAACATTATATTTTTATCATTATAATGGCATTAACTATATACAAGAGTAGTACCAAATCCGCAAAGTATCTTGCTGGTTGAATGCAGGAGTTTATGCCTCTAATTCCAACTACCTATGAGAGAGTGTTCAGGAGGATAGAGGCATCAAGCCAGCCCAAGCAATAAAGTTATTGAGATCCTATCTCAACGAAGAGGTTGTGGTAGTACACACCTGTAATTCCAGCTACAGGAGAACTCGTCCAAGGGCTGGCTCTTAGCAAAAACCCACAAGACTCTATCTGAAAAATAACCTAAGTCAGGCGCTGGTGACTCAGGCCTGTAATCCTAGCTACTCAGGAGGCTGAGATCTGAGGATCATGGTTCAAAGCCAGCCTGGGTAAAAGTCTGTGAGATTCTTCTCTCCAATAAACCACTAGAAAAATGGAAGTGGCACTGTGGCTCAAGTGGTAGAGCGCAAGCCTTGAGCTGAAGAGCAGAAGGACAGTGCCCAGGCCCAGAGTTCAAGCCCCCACGACCGACCAAAAAAATAAAATAAAATAAAATAATAACCCCATCAAGGAAGGTGCTGGTGGTTCAATCCTGTAATCCTAGCCTCTTAGCAGGCTGAGATCTAAGAATCAGTTTGAAGCCAGCCCAGGCAAAAAAAGTCCATGAGACTCATTTCCAACCCCAGAAAACTGGGAGTAGCACTGTGGCTCAAAGAGGTAGAGTGCTAGCCTTGTGCAAAAGAGCTCATGGACAGAGCCCAGGCACTGAGTTCAAACCCCACAACTGACAAAAACAAGTAACAACCTAAAACAAAAAGGGCTGGGGCATGACGCAACTGGTAGCAACTCACTGTCTAGCAAATATAAGACCCTAAGTTCAAGCCTCAGTGTCATCAAGAAAAAAAAAGTAAGGATTAAAACAGACTAGCTTAAAGAACAGGAACTGCTTAGTAAACACCAATGCATTCAGTTTCTTTTCTTTGATTCCACACTGTTCTCTTCTTCAAGCCACCTAATCAATAATGTGCCTCATTAAGTACTGAGAGCATTTTGTTATGGGAGAGGCAGAGAAAAACAAGCATGGCACAAAACTGCTGACAGTAAAAACCAGAACTGGTGGTAAATGTGGCTGCATACTATAAGATTGTTTCTCAAAAACCAAACCAACACAAAAAGATCATGTACTTGGTGTGCAAGTATAATACTAAAAACTGAAAGAAAAAAAAAAGTACTGCTGCTTTTCTCTTATTACTGAACCAAGCAGTGGTTCTTGCTAATAACATGGTTTTAGCAACCAATTCCAGGAACTCTGAATTCCTTTCCTTCATAAAGTATTTGAGTATCTATACAAAAATTATCTTTGTCAATGAAGGCCATAAAATACACTTAGGTATCCTCAAAATAACAATAGCTAAGGGAGGAATGAGAGGGAAAGGAAATAGCTTACACTAAACAAAGAAATGTAAACATCACCTGATATGAAAGAAATAATTGTATCATCAAAGCTCACAGAATTCACAAACTTTATGAACCATGATAAAGACAATTTGCCTTGCAAAGATTAAAAAAAAAATAGGGGCTGGGAAGGTGGCTCATTGGTAGAGTGCTTCCCTTGCATGCATGAGGTCCTGGGTTCAATTCCTCAGCACCACATAAGCAAAAGAAGCCAGAAGTGGCACTGTGGTTCAAGTGGTAGGGCACTAGCCTTAAGCTAAAGAGCTGAGGGACATGGCCCTGGCCCAGAATTCAGGCCAGTAAAAAAAAAGAAAAAAAATACACAACCGCGCGTGAGTGTGTCTGTGTGTATGTAGCAAGGTGATATATAGCAGGGTGATACACTTCTAAAATGTGCAACATGCCTTATGAATTTATATTAAAAAATAACAACAGCTATACTCTGAAAGGAATCAAGTACTTTCTTCATCACATAGATAAAGCATTTCATATACTGGAAATATTTTGTTAAACACTTACCTCTGTTCCAATTCCAGGTTGTACACCAGAATAAACACTGTCTGGTGGAGGACCACCATACTTCCTCTGTCCTGTGGTTACATCCAAAGTATAACCAGTCCTCTCAAGCAAGGCCTACAGACAATTACACATACAATTATACATACGTTTATATTTAATATTCATTAAGTCCATGTGTTCATCTTTCCCAAACAATACCATAATATCTTAGGACATGTATTTTATAGACAAATATTTAAAAAGTCAGAATCCACCTCAGTTCCACCTACATGTTCCTCTTACATACAGGTTAAACAGCCACAGGCAAAATAAATCTCTAAGCATACTCTACTTTTCTGGTATAGAAAAAAAGAAGGATTAAAGCTAATACACAACGCTACTATTCTGACCAATGCTACTATTCATACTTATGAACCTCATCTTTTACCTCCTACACTCCAATTAGACCATCTTACTTATTCGTTCTCTTTATATGCCACAGTCTTTCCATCTATATATATATTTTTTTTTTTTTTTTTGGGGGGGGGGTCGGTCGTGGGCCTGAACTCTGGGCCTGGGCGCTGTCCCTCAGCTCTTCAGCTCAAGGTTAGCACTCTACCACTTGAACCACAGCACCACTTCTGGCTTTTTTTTTCTGCTTATGTGGTGCTGAGGAATCGAACCCAGGGCCTCATGCATGCAAGGCAAGCACTCTACAAGCCATCTTCCAAACCCCCCATCAATATTTTTTTTGTGTTTAATACCAGTCCTGGGGCTTGAACTCAGGTGCTGGGAGTTGTCCCAGAGCTTCCTTTGTTTATGGCAAGTGTTCTCCCACTTGCTCAACAGCTCCACTTCTGACTTTTTTAATAGTTTATTGGAGATAAGAGTCTCACCAACTTTCCAACCAGGGCTGGCTCTGCACTGCAATCCTCAGAACTCAGCCTTCTGAGTAGCTAAGATTACAGACATGGTGAGCCACCAGCACCCAGCAGTAAGTTATTTTTTAAACGATTAATTCATAGAAGGTTCACATAGTTTACTATTTAGAAGTTTTACAAGAATATGGTTATGCCATTTTGCAGATGAGGAAAAGGAAAGCATAAAAGTGTTCCATATAAGTTAGCTATATAAATATGCTGGGCACTGGTGGCTTATGCCTGTAATCCTACTCAGGAGGCTGAGATCTGAGGATTGTAGTTCAAAGCCAGCCCAGGCAGGAAAAGTCTTTAAGACTCTTATCTCCAATTAACTACCAAAAAAAACAGAAGTAGCTGTAGCTCAAGTGGTAGAACACTAACCTTGAGCAAAAAAGCTCAGGGACAGTGCCCAGGCCCTCAGTTCAAGCCCCACAACTGACAAAAAAATTAGTTATGGCAGGAATCATAAGTTATATTTCCCATCTAAAACATGAACCATCTATACACATAAAATAACATTACAAATTAAAGTCTAGGCTGAGAATTCAGCTAAGTAATAGACACTAGCCTAATATGTGAGACCTCAGGTTTTACCTTTTGGCACTAAAAAAAAAAAAAAGTCTTTCAATATCAAGGTATTAACATCCATTTTACCAGTAATTAGGTACACACAGGAAAAGTACTCTACTTTTTTTTTTTTATTACTTAGCTTATCTAAGTAATAACAATGATAATGGCTCACAGTTCTTACTGTTATTATAACTTCTTGGTACTATTCTAACTGCTTTACATATTTAGTTCATCCTCACAAAACCAGGAGGTAGGAAAAATTACCACCCTCATTTTGTAAAGAAACTAGAGGGCTCAGTGGCAAAGCACGCTTGCCTAACAAGTGCAACGTCCTGGGTTCAATCCTCGTACCAAAAAAGAAAAAAGAAAGAAACTAGAGTATAAGAAAATTCAAAAGGAGGAAACCAGTTGGAACAACATCTCTTTACCATGAGAAAAGAAATTAAGTACTTAGAAAGAAAGTGGACCAAGAAATCTTTACCTGATATATCCAAGAAGCTACAATCAGAACATCAATAAACATGTCACTCCTGGGCAGAACAGGATGGAGGGTAAGTCTGAATTAAGGCTTTCCATGGAACATTACAACTATCCGAATCAAGTTTTACCTTGATTTTTGCTTCATCAGGTCCCTTTGTGGACTCTTGTACCTTGCTGCCCTGTTTCTCTCTTTGCCTGTAGGTCTTCATAACTCCACATAAAAATGCACTTTTGTTCTAAAACCAGCAAGTAATTAAATAAAAATAAATCACCAAAAATCTTCAAAAAGTCAAATGCATAACTAAATTTACATTTTAGAACACCAGAATTGGACATTATTCATTCATGCAGCAAATATTGCTATACCACTAAGATGGTGCAGACCTCAGAAGCTGACGTTTGCTACGAAGTTAACACAGCCTTCTATATGCTGATATTTAGCTGAATCTAGACTAACTTTGCTAGATGAAACAATTCCACCACTCAAATGCTGAAGTGGAAAAACCCTAAAGAGCCCAAAGAGAGTGAGAGGCCCAGAGCTCAAGACCAGTGCCTGCACATAAAATAAAATAAAAATTCAGAACAAGTCAAACCTGTAAAACCTAGTTACAATTGTCATCAACTGTGGCCCTGATTTTAAGGGCTTTTTTTGTTTTGTCGCTTTTGTTTTTGTGTCTGAGCTCTTGGCTTTTTCACTCAACGTTGTTGTTCTAACCACTTGAGCCACAGTTTTATTTCTGGCTTTTTGGTAGTTAAATGGAGATCAGTCTCACAGACTTTCCTGCCTGGGCTAGCTTTGAAATGAACTGAGATCCTCAAATCTCAGCCTCTTGAGTAGCTAGGATTAGAGGCATGAGCCACCAGTGCCCAGCCTGATTTTAAGTTTTTTTCTTTTTTTTTTTTTGGGGGGGGGAGGGGGGGGGTCCGGTCGTGGGGCCTGAACTCTGGGCCTGGGTGCTGTCCCTCAGCTCTTCAGCTCAAGGCTAGCACTCTACCACTTGAGCCACAGCACCACTTCCGGCTTTTTTCTTTTTGCTTATGTGGTGCTGAGGAATCGAACCCAGGGCCTCTGGCATGCAAGGCAAGCGCTCTACCACTAAGCCACCTTCCCAGCTCCCTGATTTTAAGTTTCTACGTAAGCGTGGGTGAGCCAGTGGCTCACACCTATAATCCTAGCTACTCAGGAGGCTGAAGTCTGAGGATCACAGTTCAAAGCCAGCCTGGGCAGGAAAATCGGAGAGACTCTTATCTCCAATAAACCACCAGAAAACCAGAAGTGGGACTGTGGTGCAAGTGGTAGAGTGCTTACCTTGAGCTGAAGAGCTGAGGGACAGTACCCAGGCCCCACAACAGACAGAAAAAAAAAAAAAAAAGAGTGGGGGGGACACATCTGCTTTAAACCTGTGCTTCTGAAACTGCCACAGATCTTTTTCCTTTCAATTAACTTTTTAAGAAGAGGAGAGTTCCTCACAAATAAAAAGACCTTTTTCCACTGGGGGGAAAAAAATACTGTGATTGGTAGTCACCAGTCACAGTACCAGTGACCACTAACTGCTGAAAAGCATTTTAAAGCAAAAACCTTACCTGAACATGTGATAAGTCACTCTCCTTGAACTGTTGTAGCACAGATAGAGCTCCTTCTTCATTAAATTCTCTGAGAGCATCAATTGCTCTTTCATCAAGATCGACATAAGCTACCAATCCTAAAAATTAAATTGAAAAGGGGTAGCATTATTGCAATAAAAGGAGCAAGCTAAACCGTCTTATTCAAGTCTACAAAGAATTGTTATATGTACTAACTATATTTTCATTTAACTATATGCATACAAGCAGTTATACAAATACTATGAAAAGGTCAAGTACAAACATGAAAATAAAGTCAATAGCTACAAGCAAAAATTTCAAAAACAAAAAATACCCTAAAACTCATTTCCAACTCCCCAAACAGCACTGTCTTAAAAGTTAAATCTGATGCATATTCCAGACTACAGATTTAAGCATTCACACAACCATCTATGTTAAATGGTAAGAATGCATTGTATTTCCCAAAGACAAACCTTCAAATTGTGGATTGTTACAGTTCACTATATTAAGAGGTAGGGGAGAAACAGGAAAACAAGTTTTATTTCTTTCCATCTCCAAATAGTGTCTCCCTCCTTAGCACCAAAGATATACTGAAATGCATTTATCTGAGCACCTACTTTGCTGCAGTCAGAATGTGGAAAGGCATAATTTTAAACTCTTCTACAAATGCAAGTGCAGCTTGAATAATCAATTCTAAAGTCGAATTTTAAGGCACTCTGTTCTTCAACAAGCTTAGACTCAAAAGAAGCTGTGATATTCACAACTGTTAATAATTACCATCTTTCAAATGGCAACAAGAACTGTACCAACTTGCAACTAAACTCAACAGGAAATATATGCATTGAATTATATATATATAGTATATTTAACTGCACACAGAACATCTACTATTTTTTAAATAAAATTTAGTTCTATTAAATGTGTTATATTTATCTCTCTACAACGGAAGTTTATTTCAGAACTGATAAAATGAAAAATGAAAATATCTGACAGATTAAAACCCCCAAATCCATGACTCCAGTTTGGTAAAGCTAAAAAGAACATACAGTAACTTTATTAAATAACTGTAATGCCACTGGCAAAATTACTTTGTTTGAAAAAAAAAAATGTTGCCACCATTTGTTTTAAAGGCTCAAAATGAGCATGCATAAGTAAATTGGAGTTTCCTTACTTGAACATTCCATATACCACCCAAAAGCCACAACTCAGGACAATCATCATCATCCATTTGTTCAATCCAGTCCTACATCAAAACCATCAGCCTCTTAGCAATAACAAAACACTCTACAGGAGAGCATCTCTGAGCAGATCACTGCCAATTCTCTATGGCAGAATGTCACAGAAAGTTCCTGAGGACTGATTTTTTTCAGACAGGATCATCACCCAGGAGTCATTTTTATAAGTCATTTTAGTATCTAAAATTATCCTTAGCTGCCCAGATTTAAAATACTTTTAAGAACAAAAAAGGAGCAGCTATTTGTGTACTTAGGACACATTTCTGAGAAAGACAATTTTCCCCCTTTTCTTCTCTTTCCCTCTCTCTACCCCCAAATCTGGACAGTCACACCGAACACACAGCTCAAGAAAAGTTTCCATCTATAGCCCCAAAGGAGGAGGGCACATTTATTTATGAACAACGCTCCCTAAGGGCAAGTATTTCTCTCCTCTGTAAAACTTCAAACCACTTACAAACAACCATAGTAAGATGTTCAAATGTGCTTAAACTCTTAACCATGGGACTTCTCGATTTAAAAATAATAATAATAACTGTTACAAACCAAACACTGAGAGATGTGGATTTCTGTCTGTCAGAAACTAAACAGGCCACAAACTCTCAAAGAGTCTGACATAGTATCATTTCAGACAATACAGACTAGCTATTCCTCTTATTATGCCACCTAATCAGACCTAACTGACTTAACAATCACTTTTAAGAAGCTAAAAGTAGAAAAGTAAAAAGCAAAATGATGACTGATTTAGAGTAAGGAAAAAAATATAAAATTTGGTATGCTGAAACATACATTTTAATTGGTAGTAAATCTAAGACAAATTGATGTACCATTCAGAAACAACTATGACAGCATATTCAACTGAGAAGGCTTCAAAATAATGAACAGGAATATCAAAGTCAAACCCAATATGCTCTCAGTGAAGGGAAAAGTAACAAATATCAGCTCTACACAGATCAGAAACAGTAAGCATTATTTAACCTTAAAAAAAAAAAAAACTATAAAATTCAAAGTGGTTTGCCCTCACTTTCATAACCAGTCAGAAACAAGAAATGCATATTATACCTGTCTGAAATATTTCATCAAGTCTTTCTGCCACCTTCTGTGGGAGGCCTGCCTCTATCAGTGTCTTGTAGTGTTCTGTGTGAGTTACACTGGAAGTATCCATTGGTTCTTCCTCTTCTTTTAACTGTACCGCATTACCATTCACCTGATTAGCCATTTTATTATGCTGCTGGAAAAAATTCAGGAGCTATATTACATTAAGCCAGAAATAACTAGTTTGTAGGACAATGCATGATTTATCTAAACTAATTTGTACACATGCTGCTAATAACCACTATCCAAAATAATATTTTATGCCTTCTGTGATTTATCTGAACTAAATTTGCAATAAAAATCCTGTGAGACTATATGAAATGTACATGGAAGTAATAGATCATTAAGGAACTTCATGTACACCTACTTAAATAAAGGCTTGAATTTACTGAGGGTAGACCCTGCTGATTAACGAAAGCAGCTGGTGTGTCCTGGTGAGCAGATCAACAAATCATCTCAGAATCCTAAAAAGCCTCTCACTTCTCAATTCTTAAAGTTTTTGAAAGTTTGGTTTAAAAACAGAATAAACGCCCACAGATCACTTAATTTTTAAGACTTTCAAATTTGCCTAGCTCTGCTTCAAATGCAACATCAGTGTGAAATCCCTGCTGAGTCTAGTTCAACATGCTTGCTATGGCTTGGGTTTTCTCCACCTCACTTGGACAACAACACAAAACACAACTTTCACATTAATTTTTGCTCTAAGATTAATTTGCTATTCCCACTCACAGATTTAAAAGAAAAAATGACCAAGTTTTAAAGCAAAACAATTGTTTCAAGCCCACACAAAAACAGTGAGCTATAGTTGAGGTTGCTTCTTTAAAAACTCAGGGACACATGTTGAATTTTTCTTATTAGTAAAATAAGGATGTTAAAAAAAATATCAAAGAATGGAAAAGTTCTTCCAAATAACTTCAAAAAACACTACCTAATTAGGGTAAACTTCAGATTTCTCAGATAAAGCTACCAAAAATTATTTTGTATGTTCAGCCTGCATGTTAATGCTGAAAATGGACCAACTCCCCTGAGAGTAAATAATAAAACCAAACAAAGCCAGTCTTTAATATTGCCTCAAAAAATCAGGGAATTAAAGTATGTTTATCTCTGCTAAAATTATGTGAAGATAACAGGCAGCAGAATAAAGATACTACAGCAAACTGAAATAAAAGGCATGAAGATCCATCTTCATGAAGAAAATCAAGAAAGATACCGAGTCAGCTACAAGTCTCCTAAAAAGCACTAATCCAACCCAAGAAACCACACTTCCAGATCACTTATCAAACACTGTGCAAATTGACCACAGGCAATTTTCCGTCTTAAAGCAAACTCTTCATTTGAAACTCTACTGATGTTTAGTTGAAGTTAAAGAAAGGGAGAAGACCAAAAGAAGCAGGTAACAGAGTAGGAAGAACAGAAAATGTACAAAATGTTACTATGAAAATGAGATAAACAATAGCTTGATTTCTCAACATTAAGACTTGATAGCCCTCAGATGTCCACGTGAAGACAGACTGCTTAAACTCTGGGTGGATGTTTCTTAAGACAGCCTCAAGTTCTTGATGAACCAGCAAAAATGAAAACATTCCCAAATGGCACAGTTTTGATCAAGAAAGTATTATCAGATAAGATGACTGTACCTAAGGTCTATAAAGATGCATCCTAAAACTGAAAATCCCTGTGAACACAACAGTTCTATTTTCTATGTCCTCCCACTCCCAAATACTGTAAGGCCACCACAACTCTCAAGTTCTCAGTGCCACAAGGCCTTTAACGCACTACACCTGCAAACACTACTAGTTGGCTTTTTTTTTAAGTAAATTAACGAAAAAGTTCAATGAACGTCTATTAAAAGTTCTTTTTAAAGTATGAATAAAGTAAAAAGACAAGTTGTGTATTAAGTACAAGATAGAAATAATTATGACTAGCAATTCATGGCAAAGGCTCTACAAGTTGATACTGAAATTGTTACTTGTTTTATCAAGTCTGTAAACTCTAGCAAATTAAAAAAAAAAAAAAAAAGTAGATTCCAGAAAATAAACTTTCAGATCAAGAGAGCAAACAATTCTCCCTTCAAGCCGAATACAAAGTGTCCTTTAAAAGACTTTTTAATGTCATATGAGACCATTTAAAACTCATGTCAATTCAACACAATGCCACACAGCCAAACCATATTTCTGGATGCAGCAAATATACTAAGGTGACGGGAATCATCTGACTTGAACATTTTAGCAAAAAGTAGACATTTAAATGAGATTTTAAAAGTTGCTGGGATATTTGAGAAGTCAGTAGACCAGCTCCGCCCTGACTTTTTCGGAACATCACTGCGCCAAAGCTTCACGTTTAAGAGACGGGCTTTAAAAGAACCAAAGAAATGCAAACTAACGGTTGTCTATCTCCCGGCCCCGTCGGGAGCGTCCAGCCCTGTCGCCTACCACAGAGTCAGGAGACGTCGATTCCGCCTCTTAAGGACAGCAACAATCTCAACACAGGTAGTGTGAAAGGATCCAACCTTTCAAGAACCCCTGGGCTTCCGCTGCTTAAATTTTGCCGACACGGCTTTAAGTGCCGTGTAAAGAAAAAAAGAATCGGTTTTTGGTTTGGTTTTGTTGTTTGTTTGTTTGTTTTCCTTCTTTCCAATTTGGAGCGCCATTGACAAATCTCAGAAATTCTCTCTCCGGCGCCGCTTGAAGCCTAAGTGTCACGGCCTCTTTTAGTCATTTTTTCCTTCAAATCTAGGCTCGAAGCATGCAGAATGGGGGAAGGGAGGGAGGCTGGCTTCCCACCTACAGCAGCCCTTTTCGGCTCCGGCTCCCACAAAAGTTTGCTCCCGGCTCGGGTCACCCTGGGGCTTGCACCCCGCCCTCTGCCCACCCCACCCCCTCGAGCCCGACCCCGGTGGTCAACACACACCCCACTTGCCGCCCAGCCGAACGGTGCGGCGGAGCCCAGCCAGGCGGCCCCGGCCGGGGCGACAGCCGCTGGGGTCGGGGGCCGCCTCGGGCCCTCGGCCCAGACGAACGGCGGGCGGAGGCGGGAAAAGCACGGCCGGCCCGGCAAGGCCGCGCGGAGAGAGCCCGGACAGGCGGGACCGAGGGAGCGGGACTGCAGGGGTGGAGAGGACGAGCTAGGGCGAAGGGGCGCCGCGGCGAGGCGAGGCCGACAGCTGCGCGGCCGGACGAGGCCGAAGCCGCCCCCGGCCCATCCCCGCCCCCACCCCCGGGCCTCGGAGCGAAGACCAAACTGGGGGAACAAGGCGCCAAAGCGTGAGCCGGGCCGAGTCGGGTCGGATTGGGGCTCCCGGCCCCTCCCCCCATGGGCCGGCGCGAGACTCACCAGGGCAGAGCAGGGGCCGGCGGCCTGGCCCGTGAGAATCAGCGCGAGGCGCTTTGAAAACGACTAGAAATGGCGCGCGCGCCACCCCCTCCCCCCCCTCATGCACCGAGACGCGATCCCGGCAGCACGCGGGGTTTCCCGGAACTGCTTCCAGGGACTCCGAGCTGCCGAGCAATCACCTCGCGAGGCATCCTGACAGGCAGCTCAGAGGACCAATAGTAGTGAGGCAAAGAAGCCCACGCCGGTCGCCTAGAGAACCAATCGGTGCAGTCATCGGCTAAGCCAATGAGGGTACTCAGCGCTACTGGCTGGGGCGCCTCCGGGGCGGGGGCAGGCACACAAAGGGGTCCGTGGTGGGAGACCCTGAGAGAGGCGAGGCTGCGGGGCACTGTGCCCCGGGTGGCCGAGGCTCCTCCTTCCTCGTCTGCCGCGGTTGCGAGGCCACAAATCTAAGCCCGGCGCCGCGTGGCCGCCTCGCGAGCCCCGCCCCCTCGGGTCCGCGTCGGCCGGACTCGGCGCTCGGGCCGGGCGCTGGGGCCGCTCTTCGCCCCAGCCTCTCTCTCGCCGGCCGGCTGGCGGTCACCCGAGACACGCCCATCGCCACGCGTTGCGTTCCCTGCCTGGAGCATCCTTTTTGGCCTCTACATTGGGACGCGTTGGAAGGATGATTTGACCTGTCATTTCGCTGGAGAATTTTTTAAATAGAAAATCATTCCTTGTAACGGCCGGAAAACTGCCCTTTTCCGTCCCCGTGGCTCCTTTCCACACATCGAGGTCTGTAGGGGAAATCGCTAAAGGGGCTATGACTCGAGCTGTGTGTGCACAGATGACAGAGACCTTGCACACACACACACACACACACACACCGGACTTGGAACGGATTGACATGCATAAAGATACACCCTTGAAGCGAAAGATGATGCTAGGTAGGAAACTGGTTTCAGTCCCAAAGGAGACTAATTCTTGCTTTTCTGAAACATACCTCTCACCCTTCACTCCTATTGTCCTCGCCTTAGCCCAAACCTAGCTCCCCCCCCCCTCAGAACACACACACACACACACACACACACACCAAACTCAATTCTGTTGAGGGAGCCCTGTGGGTCCTTCCCTCCCAACCTCTACCTCGTAGGAAATAGAGGTCAAGTAATCATCAGTTTCTCAGGTCAGTTTATTGTTGTCCTACTGTTATGACTTGAATGTACCTCACTCCACCCCTAAATCTCCAAAGCAGTAGTGGTGGGAGGTGGGACCTAATGGGAGGGGTGCAGGTCACTAGGATGCCACCCTCATGAATGGATTAATGCTGGTTACTAAAGGGCTCCAGACAGTGTTTGATCTCTTGTTCTCTCTCTCTCTCTCTCTCTCTCTCTCTCTCTCTCTCTCCCTGGCATTTTCTGACTCCTTTGCCCTTCAACGTGGCATGACACTAGAAAGCTATATGGGGTGCGTCCCTCAATGTTGGACTTCACAGCCTCCATTATGTAAGAAGTAAATCTCTTCCTAGGTACTGGTGCCTCATGCCTGTAATCCTAGCTACTCAGGAGACTGGAATCTGAGAAGGTTCAAAGCCAGTCCTCCTTCCCTCTTCCTCCCCTCTCATCCCCCACAGGAAACTCCAGGACACTCTTATCTCCAATTAACCAGCAAAAAGCCCAAATGGAAGTGTGGTTCAAGTGGTAGTACACTAGTCTTGAGCTTAAAAGTTAAGGGACAATGCCCAGGCCTTGAGTTCAAGTTCAGTACCAGCACAATTTTTTTTAAAAATTCCCTGGTTTCAGATACTCTATCATAGAAATACAAAACACCCAGGCAGGCACTGGCTGCCTCATGCCTGTAATCCTAACTACTCAGGAGTCTGGACTCTGAGGACCTCATTTAAAGCCAGCTAGCACAGGAAAATCATTCAGACTCTTGTCTCCAATTAACCTGTCAAAAACCAGAAGTAGAGCTGTGGCTCCCTGAGGTAGAGCACTAGCCTTGAGCAAAAGAGCTCAGGGACAGCGCCCAGGCCCTGAGTTCAAGCACCTCTCCCCCTCCCCTCCACCCCAATGGGAAAAAAAATACAAAACACCCAAGCTAAATCCTTGAACAGATCCAAGTTTTGTGTTAACAGTGTGAAACTTACAGAAATGCTGGGGGCTGGGTTTGTAGCACAATGTTGGATCAGTTACTTAGCATATACATAGGCCCTCCTTAGTTCGGAACCTGGCATAGAAAAGAAGGGAGAAATACTGGGATCTTTAAGAAAAATATGCAAGAATGAATACAAGTTAAAGGGTAGAGTGCTTTCTAAAGGACGTAGTAAAAGTGAGAAACCCTGAAGCTTAAACTTTATTAGTATCGCATAAATCTCCCGCTACCACAAGGGTTCTTGACCTACTTTGTGCCACTTGGAATTCTGATTAAAGCTACAGGTTTTACCGGATGCCAGTGGCTCACACCTGTAATCTTAGCTATTCAGGAGTCTGAGATCTGAGGATCACAGTTCAAAGCCAGCCTGAGCAGGAAAATCCATGAGACTCCAATTAATCTCCAATTAACCACAAGAAAATCAGAAATGGTGCCGTGGCTCAAATGGTAGAGCAATCACCTTAAGCTGAAGAGCTGAGGAACAGCGCCCAGGCCCAGAGTTCAAGCCCCACAACCGACAAAAAACAACAACAACAACAAAAAACTACAGGTCTCAGCTTCCAAATGTTTTAAATAAAATACATATCACTACCAAAGAAGTTGTTTACATTGAAATGCGACTGGAAAAATACATTTTAAAAATAAATTAGTGGGCTGGGAATGTGCCTTAGTGGTAGAGTGCTTGCCCAGCATGCATGAAGCCCTGGGTTCAATTCCTCAGTACCACATAAACAGAAAAAGTCAGTAGTGGCACTATGGCTCAAGCCAGCCTGAGCAGGAAAGTCTGACTCTTAGCCCAATTAACCACCAGAAAACTAGAAGTAGAGCTGTGGATCAAAGTGTTAGAGCACTAACCTTGAACAGAAGAGCTCAGGAGCAGTGCCCAGGCCCCACAACTGACAAAAAAAATAATCTATCACAATATTTTTCTAGGATATTTTTTTCTTTTTCCTTTATTTGCTATTTTTATTTTTTTCTGTTGGTCGTGGGCCCTGAACTCTGGGCACTGTCCTTCAGCTCTTCAGCTCAAGGTTAGTGCTTTACCTCTTGAGCCACAGCGCTACTTCCTGCTTTTTCTACTTATGTAGTGCTGAGGAATCAAACCCAGAGCCTCATGCATGCAAGGTAAGTACCACTGAGCCACCTTCCCAGACCTTGTTTGCTTATTTATTGTGCCAGTACTAGGGCTTGAACTCAGAACCTTGTGCTCTTGGTTAGCTCTTTTTGCTCATACTAATACTCTGCCACTTGAGCCAATACTTTTTTTTTTTTTTTTGTCAGTTGTGGGGCTTCAACTCTGGGCCTGGGCGCTGTCCCTGAGCTCTTCAGCTCAAGGCAAGTACTCTACCACTTAGCCACAGCACCACTTCTGGTTTTCTGGTGGTTAATTGGAGATAAGAGTTTCACAGACTAGGGGCTGGGAAGGTGGCTCAGTGGTAGAGTGCATGCCTTGCATGCCAGAGGCCCTGGGTTCGATTCCTCAGCACCACATAAGCAAAAAGAAAAAAGCTGGAAGTGGTGCTGTGGCTCAAGTGGTAGAGTGCTAGCCTTGAGCTGAAGAGCTCAGGGACAGCGCCCAGGCCCAGCGTTCAGGCCCCATGACTGGACCCAAAAAAAACAAAAAAACAAACACAGACTATCCTGCCCAGGCTGGCTTTGAACCATGATCCTCAGATCTCAGTCTCTTGAGTAGCTAGGATTACAAGCGTGAGCCACCAGTACCCAGCTTATACTTTCATATAGTCCTTTGTAGACATACTCCACCTTCTCAGACCATATATCTTGATTATTTTTAATGTATGGTCACAAAAAAATCCATATTCATAAATTATTCCACATTCATTGCATGCTTTCTATATACAAATCATCATTAAGAGTAGAGAGAATGAAAAACGTGAGCCATATCCTCTAAGAGCTTACATTTTAGCTGACAAGCTAGGACAACTACAAATATAAAAATAGGCTTGTAAATGGAACTCCAGCATTAGACAAGTTCTCTACCATCTGAGCCATGCCACCGTCCACATCTATTCCTTTGAAATTAGATAACTGTGCAACTAGGCCTTTCTACAACCCTTCTCTGTCAAAGATCAATTGAGCTGGTATGTTAGTGAATATGTTTTTTTGTTTGTTGGAACAATTGGGAGGCACAAGACAATTCAACTTGAAGATTTGATGTTTACTACTTACAACTCTAACAGAATCTTTTACATTATCAAACCCTATAGGATCCTTAAGATTGATCTTTGTCTTGTTTGCCCTTTTCATGATGCCAAAAGAAACATTTAGTGTTGGGCTGGGATGTAACTCAGTGTTTCCTGGGTTCATTCCCCAGTACCAAAAGAAAACAAAGGGGGCTGGGAACGTGGCTCAGCGGTAGAGTGCTTGCTTTGCATGCATGAGGCCCTAGATTCGATTCCTCAGCACCATATGAACAGAAAAAACCGGAAGTGGTGCTGTGGCTCCAGTGGTAGAGGGCTAGCCTTGAGCTGAAGAGCTGAGGGACAGCGCCCAGACCCAGAGTTCAGGCCTCACAACCGACAAAAAAAAAAAAAAAGAAGAAAACAAAGATTTATTTAGTCTATTTTTCAGATTCCAAACATGTCAATTCATGGGGCTGGGAAGGTGGCTCAGTGGTAGAGTGCTTGCCTTGCATGCCTGAGGCCCTGGGTTCGATTCCTCAGCACCACATAAGCAAAAAGAAAAAAGCCGGAAGTGGCACTGTGGCTCAAGTGGTAGAGCACTAGCCTTCAGCTGAAGAGCTGAGGGACAGCGCCCAGGCCCAGAGTTCAGGCCCCATGACCGGACCCAAAAAAACAAACATGTCAATTCAGCATCTTCAAAATAGAAAAAGGATTCCTCTCAAAGCAAAATTTCAAAACAATAACAAGTATTGAGATAAAACATATATAATAATGTTCAAATTGTTAAAAAAAAAAAAAGTTTCCGGGGCTGG